TGTAGTTTTTTCAAAATTAATACAAGAACGTTCATAAATAGGCTTTAGGTTAACTGTAAGTTAAGGTAAACTATGGAAGATGCTAAGTGATGTAATTTAACGTCAAATTTATCTTATTAAAACCCTTCAATGGACGAAAAGCGTCAGCTAATTTTTCCTTTTATCTTTATTCATATTGTTCTTTTACAGAACTTTTACACACATAAGTCTTATATATAAAATACAGTGTATGTGTGTGTGTCTGTGTCTGTGTCCAAGCAACTCCTCCCCTCCCACTGATCCCACTTCAATGTTTCATAGCCCATTCAAAAGACCTAGAAATGTTAGGCGCGAGGAACGATAGTCGTTGAGCTCAGATTAAGGGTTGCCAGATTATGCAAGGTTAAAAATATATATTAATATATTATACTAGCCATTATTGTTGCTTTCATGGTTCAAGGGGAGTAACTTTTATTTTTCTTTTGTATCTAAAATTGCAGTGCACGTTTTATTATAAACTAGCTTAAAAGCTGCCCTATCGGACGGCATTTAAGCTAGTTCCTGCGGAGGATTATTGGTTTGGCCATCATCACAATAGATAAGATGCGATAGGCATCAATATACTACAGAAGAACTCAAAATTGATCGCTGCATTTAAGTATTGAATTAATGTTTAAACTTACTTTTTAAAAGTTTAACGATAATTCTTCTGCTGTCACTTAATTTAAAGAGATTTGATGTACGTGGGTCTTTACTTTCCGTTCAAACAATTATTTTTATTTCATAGGCGACAGAACAGAGGATAATTTATAAGATAAAATTAATATAGTGTAAAACTGGCAAAATAGAAATTAAAATTACTTATACATGCAACATTTGAAGAGTTAGAGAAACATCAAAGCTAATTAAGTAAAAACTATATTATGGAATCTAGATACGAAATTGGGACAAAATTCTGACGCGAATTCTGAGATTAAAAAGCCCCAGATGTACTTTATAATAATTTACATGCAGTATTAACTCCTTTCCTCCATTTAGACGAGATGTGACACAAGATCTGAGCGAATTCTACCCAAAGACAGAGACGCAACTGAGAGATGATAAGCCTGCGTTGAAAATCCCTACAAAGAGGAATTTACATGCGGTGTTTACTCATTCCCCCACGAGAATGAGATGTGACACAAGGTCGGATTAATGTGGGGACCCGAGCGCGTACACCCGGGCAGGGACAAAAATTCCCCTCAGCCCCCGCAACCGTCGGTTGCACTGGCCTCGGTGCGAGCACCGATCCCCGCTCTTGGGCAATGGGAGGGGCGCGGCCTGGGCAGCTGTTCTCCAGGTATATATATATATATATATATATATATATATATATATATATATATATATATATATATATATGTATATTTTCCATAACTATATATATATATATATATATATATATATTATGGAAATATATATATATATTATGGAAATATATATATATATATATGTATATTTTCCATAACTATATATATATATATATATATATATTATGGAAATATATATATATATTATGGAAATATATATATATATATATATATATATATATATATATATATATATATATATATATATATAGTTATGGAAAATATAGCGAGCAATACTGAATCGCATGATAAAAGTCACACCACCAAATATGTTATTATAATTATTTTTAATACGCACAGATATTGTGAACAGAAATATCCATGGCATATTTATCATAAATATAATCACATTTTGAAAAGAATTAACAGTATTCGTTGGTTAATATCTCCATTTTTACCCTATATACTGAGAAAGCGTTAACTTGTAGGATAAAATCTGTCAATGTATTTTTATGCGTTCAGCTTAAAAAAATGTCGTAAAGAATCAAAACACAAAAATATAAAGTAGCTTGATTTTAAAAATAAAAGAATAATGAAGATTGGCTACTTTGGAGACAGACGGGAAGTGTTGATACATTTTTTTACAGACGCATGCGCAGACAGCCCATGGCTTGATCCCAGACGTAACTAGAATGAGATGGTAATTACATCCTATAAGTTAACCTCTGTTACTTTTCTCGGAGTTGGCCCATTGTCACGGGAAATGTGTCTGCTGAAAAGAGGTCCGTTTCGTACTTAGAGTCTTCTGTTTCTACCGACGAACGTTGCCGGGGTGCCATTTTCCGCTTGCTTCCTTGAGAAACTCATGACGTCACACATGACGTCAGCAGAACGCCATTTATAGATGCTAAGAAGAAGTAAAGCAGTTTGGTTCACCCATATTGCCATTATGATGCGAGTACATGAAACCGAACACATCTGCGTGCTCGCATACGCGAGATATAACCTTTAAAATGAACGCCATCATAAGCGCTTGTGTGTGTGTGTATGCGCCTGTGTGTATGTGTGCGTATATGTATGGACACGCATAGAGATAAAGACCTTCAACTTGTGTAAGAGTTAAACGCTTTTAAGAAAGTTATCTACCATTTCAGTCACATCATCTTAGTAATTCTTCGTGTCTTAGTGGCTTTATCGCCTTCGTTGGTGTAAAATGATTTAAAAAGAAGGGCGTTGACCCTTTTTATAGTCTGGCTGTCTAGTCGACCTACTTATCAGAAACCTTAATGGAGAAACTGAGCAGATATGAACGAGTAATTTATGACGAGGAGGGTTTCGCTGAAAGGCACTGTTCAAAACTTATTCGTGGCCGATTCGGGTAAGGCCGGTCGGATCTAACGACGGTTTCCCTCTGCCCAGAGGGACGCAGGTTCGAATCCTGTCGGAGAACGTATATTTTCCGTTAATAAGATTTCTCAAATTTCCAGGCCGTTAGACGAAAATAAATAAATACACTCTTTAATAAATAGGAGCTTTTACTCAAATAACAGTATCCACTAAAAGTAATGTTGAAATTGATAACACACACATACATATACACACACACACACCCAGATATATATATATATTCTGTGTGTATTTAGGCAGCATCTTTTCATTCATACACGTTTCATTAAATAATATATATATTTTATGTAATTTTTTTTCATAACGTCTGATAAGTTTAATAACTTATTCGTTCAACGATAATGTTATTAAACTTATCAGACGTTATGAAAAAAATTTACATAAAATAAATAGACAACACTTGCTTATATTATTTAATGAAACGTGTATGAATATATATATATATATATATATATATATATATATATATATATATATATGGTAATATACAGCTTTCCTTATAAGAACATATATCGTTTTCAATGACCGATTATTCAGTGGTTTAAATTTATAAAAATATTCTATTAAAATAAAATTGAGATATGAAGATTGGGACCTTGAAAATATATAAAAAAGGTCCCACTCTTCATATCATCTCAAGGTTCAGGAATCCTTATATATCAGATCCGGCAAGACTTCCCTCTGGAAACAGAGGGATTGTTTGCTGGATCTGAATATTATTGGGCTCCAGTTTTCCTTGAATTTTCTTTTTCACCTTCATTAGTCATTTTCAATTTAATTTATACGTTTAGTATTTTATTTCCCGGAATTAAACTTGATAAGACTTGGCCAAAACCGGTTGTTCTTTAGCTATTAAAATTTACATTAAAATGCCTTGTAAATTGCGCTTATTCCTTGCTATTATTAAGTTTTGTACAACAAAAAAATTGTTTTATATATATATATATATATATATATATATATATATATATATATATGCAATTAAGTAATTAATAATCCGACAGATTATTTATCACATAAAAAGTTATTTTTAGTGGAATCTCGTGTATGAGTAGACGCTCTGTTTATTGAATTTAACAGTATTTTTTATTTTCGACTACCGGCCTGAATGTTCGAGAAATGTAATTAAAGAAAATATTTCCGGAGAGCATAATTTTTTTCTCGAATAAAATTACTCGAGCATCCAGGCAGACGAAAAATAAATAAATATACTGTTTAACAATTACAGCATCAACTCATATAGAGATACCCACTAAAAATAACGTTTAAACGTTTAAATTATATATATATATATATATATATATATATATAGATAGATAGATAGATAGATAGATAGATAGATAAGTGTGTGTGTGTGTGAGTCAGTGTGTGTGTGAGTGTGTGATTTGTCGAATATGACAGACTAAGACAATTTGATTGTTTTTTTTAGTTAAAACTAAAATAAAAGCTAAATAAAATCAATCAAATTTTCCTTGTCTGCCATATTCAACGAAACATGTTTAAAAGACAGGTTACTGTCTAAATATACATTTATATATATATATATATATGTATATATATATATATATATATATATATATAAAAGTGGACATTCAGGTCAACACCCAGCGGCGACAGACATGGCCTGAAGATTCGGTTTAAGCAGATTATTTTTTTAGATTTTGACAAGAATCTCGGAAAACATAACACAACTAGACTAGATGCTTTTATCTCCTTTTTATACCATTTTATAAGCACGACTTAATCGGACACTTTCAGAATACAATGTTACCAAGACTCTCTTGAAAATAATTAAAGTTGCATACCATATCAGGGGACGTCTTTTTCACTAATTAAATCAGGGAATTTCGAACTAAACTCTTTATTTAATCAACGGGATCGACTGTCTCCGACCTGTTGTGAAGACAAAGTAATTTATAAGGGAAATATTATTTTTACGTTTTAATCTAACGTTATTTATTTTTTATATAAAATTTTATATTTCACGTGTTTGAGTAGACGCCCTGTTTTTCTTTTTATGGCGGTCAATGTCATTCACACTGTTTATAAAAAAAAAAACCCAAAAAAAACAGGGTTTCTATTCAAACACACGTGTATCCAATAAAATATAATTTTTAAAGCATTAAGAAATAAAGTCAGATTAAAATAAAATAACTAAAGTACTTGTACGAAAAAAAAACAATTATTCCCTCGGCAATTATCCTTGAGCTATCAACTAAATACCACAAATTCTAAATCAGGGTCAACGGCAAACACAAGGTCGAATTAAACATTAGCTTGGCGATCGAAGCGGATCATGAGTAACATAAATATATACATACAATGAGAGACAGCTGCAATAAAATAGATAGATAGATAGATAGATAGATAGATAGATAGATAGATAGATAGATAGAAAGAAATGGTGGTTTTACACGAATCATTAACTTTCGGTATTCATCGACAGAAAACTTAGCGTTTATGTTTCTCAAATCCACTAAATGTTATAGCTTTTTCTAGTATTTCGTTTGGAACTTTTCTTTTGGGTTGTATGGGAAGTCAACATCTTGATTACATCATTACTTTCCCTTCTGGTTACATGCACTGTCCATTTTCGTTGATGTTTCTGTTGAAAGCTCTCACTAGATAGATAGATAGATAGATAGATAGATAGATAGATAGATAGATAGATAGATAGATAGATAGAAAACATTAAGATAGAGAGAGAGGTGGAGCGAGCGACAATACAATAAGATAGATATTTACAAATTGAAAGTACTGGATAGATAGATAGATAGATAGATAGATAGATAGATAGATAGATAGATAGATAGATAGAAAACATTAAGATAGAGATAGAGGTGGAGCGAGCGACAATACAATAAGATAGATATTTACAAATTGAAAGTACTGGATAGATAGATAGATAGATAGATAGATAGATAGATAGATAGATAGATAGATAGATAACACTAATACATAAAGAGCGAGTTGGAGCGAGAGAGAAAACAATGATAGATAGATAGATAGATAGATAGATAGATAGATAGATAGATATAATAGGTATAAATAAACTAGATAGATCTGAATAAACAGAGATAGGTAATTATAGACAGGGCGGGAAAAAAGGAAAGTATGAAAGTCTCTTATATAATAGACTATTCCTTTCTGTTCCCGAGGAAATCTGGAAAAGACATACCAGAGACACTGTTTGGTTTCAAAGAAAGAAAGAAAGAAAGAAAGAAAGAAAGAAAGGTCACTAACAAAATGAGAAAGTTTGTTCTTGTTTTTGTTTTCATATACACATTGCTATAAAACCAACTCAGAAAGAGAATATCTCAAAGAGCAAAACTATCGAAAAGAACAGAATTTAATCAACCCGAACACCGAACAGGTTTCGTACGAACGAGATAACTCAGCAAGCCAGCCCATTCTCCCAACTACCCATTGATTTCCACCCGTCATCACTCCTGACCCTGAACTAGTTAGCCTATTCCTACGTCCATAAAACAAATCTTATTATACTCAGCGTTCGATCAACCACGCCCCAGTACTTGTTTATCCATGTCAGTATGTGTCCACCTCCTACGCAACGGCAAAGAGCGTAGCATTGGGCGCCATTGTGTTTTAGATTGTATTTTAAAGCTTGTTAACTTTATTTCTATCTTATGGTCTCGGTTGACAGGAGATTTTTACACGGTCTTTTTAATTTCGAACTCTTCTTTAGAAAAACGGCTTTAAAAACCAAATAAAAATGAATTTGGAGACGGAATGCGCACGCGCATTCTTTAGCATTTTCAAATAGACGCATAAATGATTTCGTGAATCAAGTTAATTCCTTCCTATCTTTATCTCTATATCTTTCTCACTGTCTGTCTCTCTGTCTATCTATTTATCTTTCCTTCTTTTTCTCTTCATTTCCTTCTCCTTTTACTTTATTTCGCTCTCTCTTTAAATCTCTCTTTTTCACTCTTTCTTCTTTCGCTCTCATTCTTTCTTTCTCTCGCTTTTTTATTTCTATCCTTTCTTTCATCTCTTTTCTGATCTCTCTCTCTCTCTCTCTCTCTCTGTCAGTTGAAATATATAAAATCATTCACTTAATATAATTATTCAGGAAAAGCGGTTTCTCATGTCCAGTAGCTGTTATCGATCTTTCCAGTATTGATGGGCGTTTCCTCCCTAACCTTTTCTTTGACGTCGTGTGGAATATCAGTATCTTGATGCCATGATTTCCTCATTGACTGACATGTGCTATCCATTTCATTAGTTGCAGCTGTAGGTAGTCCTCAAGTGATTTGATTTCTTTTATTTGTTACAGTTCTTTGTTTGTGATTCTATAGCGCCAGTCCACATGGTTCAAAGAAGGATGATCTTTGCCAAGACCCGCAGTTGTCACACCCTCAAAGCCTTTCATCACCATTGATCTTAGAAACTACAAGAAGACAGAATGTATGGTTATCAGCAAAAGCATGAGCACAAAATGTAAATAACAAATCGGAGATACCAAAATCAAACTAGAACATAAATTCTCTAAAAATATGGGAAGTGTTCTAACAGAGGATCGAAAGGGCAACACTGAAACCCGAAGATGCATTGGGATAGCCAAAACTACACTCCAAAAGCGAAACAGAGTATTAAGAGATTGAAAAACTTTGGTAGAAACAAAGAAAAGCATATCAAAATGCTACGTAACATTTGTCATACTGTACGGTAGTGAATGCTGGACAATCACCTCAAAGATGAAGAAGAGACTTGAAAGAAAATAAAAAGATGCCGAGGATACCATGGACGAAACATGTATTCAACGACGAGGTTTTAGTGAAACTGGAAACAAAAATTGAAACATATACTTAACATCAGGAAGCGACAATTGAGGTGTTTGGTGCACATAATGACGAAGGTTGGTTTGGAAAATCTGCTTCTCACGAGGGACAGAGGAAAACAACGCCTAACCTACTCAAGTTTGAGTAAATGTGGCACAATTTTCAATAGGAAGATTAAAGAATATCAATCCAAGGGGCGCTTCGAATAAGGTCACGAAATGAATCCCAGTCAAATTAATTAGCACATATTTAGAAAACTCTTTCAATCCAGTAACTTTTCCAAATCAATAGGTCCTTATAAGAATCAGATTAATATTGAGTTTATCTGGTTTGGAGCTGCTTAATCAGGGTTCAGAAATATCAGGAAATTGTGGAGCACCATGATCGCCTACGTCCTGAAGGGACACGGCATATAAAATAAGCGAGAGAGATAAAGCAATTTTCGGTTTTTGCCTAGATATGCAAAGTCCGAATAACCGGTTATCCAGTTATTTAAAATAATTTCTAGAAAGATTTTGTATACATAAATTATTACAATCTGACATTTGTAATTAAGCTACAAGATTCCGCCAATAATTTAGAAAATGATAATTTAGCATTGAGCAGGAAATGATGCAATTACGTTGGAAAATAGAAAAAGACAGTCTTCTCAGAGTTCTTGGTTCTTCAACGTTTGTTGCCGTTTTTTTTTCTCTTTGAGACGCATCTAGATATATAGATTTATGTATTCTCAAATAATTCCATTCCGTAATACACTGAAACACTATCGAGGATTTTATTTTAATGTTCACGATAAACCGCCTTCATAGGTAATTCTCTTCCGGAGTGTTTGACTCGACATTACCAGCAGCGTTCTTCCCGTTTTTGATGCCTTCTCCGAGTGCCTTGCTTACGATGACTTCGTTTCCAATTATAATTGATACGATGGCGAATTCGTTTCACTACAGAATCTCCTTGATCCCATTCGAGGTAATTTACTACGGTCATTTCGCAATTAATTTAGGATAACTTTTATCATTCACCCATTAATATTATCATTATTATTATTATTATTATTATTATTATTATCGCTGACATTAAAGCTATTATTTCCATTATTGGCATCGTTTCTTTATCATCATCACCTACATCATCATTATTATGCGTTAGTTTGGCGGCTAAATCATCCAAAGCAGTCAATTTTTGAAATATTAAACACACTCAGCTATACTTTTTCTTCTTCTTCTTCTTCTTCTTCTTCTTCTTCTTCTTCTTCTTCTTCTTCTCGTTTTCTACTGCTTCTTCTTCTCCTCCTTCTCATTATTATTATTATTATTATTATTATTTTTTTTTTTTATTTCCTTTGATTTCTGGTGTTTACACATTTCTTTCCGGGTCCCGCCCAGGGACCTGAGGTTAGAAATGGCGTCATGACACTTTCCACTGACAAAAAAAAAAAAAAAAAAAAAATTAAATTACATAGATAAAGCCCTTCGTGAGGTGTGGGCTGTACTTGTCAGAACAATTTTTTGTATCTCCTTGAAGCATGGACTTCCAGGAATCCCTTCAATTAGTCTACTGCAATCTTTTCCAACCAGTCCTATGGCTCCAACTACAACAGGGATTGTTGATGTTCCCATATGCCACATTTTCGAGATTTCTATTTCAAGGTCCTTGTACTTTGACAACTTTTTGAATATCTTCAAAGATACATTGCAGTCAGCAGGGACTGCTATATCAATAAGGAGGCACCGTTTTTGTTTGTGGTCTTTAATAACAATATCTGGCCGATTGGCCTTGATTGTTCTGTCAGTGTGTATTGTGTAATCCCATAGAATTGTAACAGGTCCTATCACCGTAACCGGGTCTGGGTGGTGTTCATACCAGTTTCTTTCAGTTTCCTTCCCGTAGAAGTTGCAGATTTTCCAGTGCAGATATTGGCCCACTCTGTCATGTCGGGTTTTATATTCAGTGGGTGCCAACACCGTACAACCTGATACAAGATGATCAATCGTTTCTGGATATTTATCACAGAATCTGCATTTTGGGCTGACACAATATTTTAGTATATGTGCTTAATACTTCCTAGTTAGCAAGCATTGGTCCTGCGCAGCAAGGATAAAACCTTCAGTTTCCGCTTTCAACCCGTGCACTACGTAGCCACTGATGGGTACAGGTTTTGTCTACATCAGCTTGTTTGTTACGGGCAGAGTATTGGCCATGAAGCGATTTATCTTGCCATCGCTTCTGTAACTGGTCGGTTGCATTCGTCTTTACTGTCTTTTTTAGGTATTTTGCAGTTTCAGCCGGTGTATTGTGCTGTAGTTGCATCTCTACGCCCATTTGAAACTCCATTTTGAATTTGTTGGCTTCTTTCATTACGGAGTAAAGACGCTTACTACTTTCATGTTCCTTGACGCATACCATCATTCAGTCTTCTGTAGTTTCCAAATATCTTTGTAGGCCAATTGTTGTTATTATTATTTTTATTATTATTATTATTATTATTATGTCCTTAGAATTCTGTTGTATACGCATTTTCTTCCAATGCCCTAGGGTAGACAATAGCTTCGTGTCATTTTCCACTGAATATTTTCGTAAAAAAATAAATAAAAGATCACACATTTTACATATATAAAGCTCTTTGTAAAGTGTGAGCTGTAATTGTGAGTACAATTTTTGGTATTTCTTTAAGGCATGGGCTACCAGGTAAACCTGTAATGAGTCTATCGGGACCTTTTGCAATCAATCCGAGGGCTCCAACTACAGTTGGAATTATTGATGTCTTCATATTCCACATTTTTTAGATTTCCACGTCAAGATCCTTGTATTTTGATAGTTTTTGAAGATGGAAGGCGAGGATTAAGCAGCCCCAAACCAGATAAACTCAATACTATCCTGATTCTTATAAGGACCTATTGATTTGGAAAAGTTACTGGATTGTGCTAATTCATGTGATTGGGATTCATTTCGTGACCTTATTCGAGACGCCCCTTAGATTGATATTCTTTAATCTTCCTATTGAGAATTGTGCCACAGAGCTTTCTTCTTTGATTAAAACCGGAAGTGATCCTTTAGTGCTTTTTCGCAAATATCAGGTAAAATCATAATGCATTCCTTGATTTGCATCAGCCTGTAAGCCACTATAGCCCATAGGAATGATTTGTATGTTTACCAGCGTGATATTTCCGATCACCACAGACCATTATTTACCTTTTTTGAAGTAATGTACGAGAAGTTCTAATCAACGCTGAATTGGTTAAGCATTTAAACTCGCAGGGTCTTCTTTCAGATTAGCAATATGGCTTTTGTATCTCTAGGTCAATTATTGATGTGTTAACGATCACTGGTAAAAGAATCTATCAAACTTTAGGTAAGAATGGTGAAGCTAAGGCTGTTACTTTGGATATCTTGAAGGCATTTGACAGAGTTTGACTTACTGGTCTTCTTCACAAATTCAGTCTTTCACATCAAATCTCGAAATGAAGGTGTCTTGA